GGTACTGTAAAACAGCCAGCACATGATCAGCCATATTTCTACCTCCAACTATAACAGGGACAGGAAGGGAGCGGTTCCCGGGGTCCCCAGTCGCCTCTTCCCAGCGCTCCCCAAAGGCCTCCAGAAGCCGAGTGACAAGAGGAGGGGGCGCGCTGGGCTAGGGCTCGGCCGGGACTGGCGATTCTCTGTCCCCAGCCCTGGGCTGCTCGCGAGAGCCAGCTTCCTCCGGAGTGACAGGCGTGATTTATACATTATTTACAACAGTAATTAAAGCAATAGCTTCCTCCTGTTCTTTGCAAACTCCAGGCGCATTCAAATAAATAATTCTCTCAACCCCAAGAAAACCCCCACATTATGTTCCGACACCTTTAAGAAAGAGGGAGAGAGGGAGCTTTCCCGAACACTGCACTTGAAGTAGGAAAAACCAAGGAGGGGGCCCTGGAGCCCCCCCCCACACACACCACCCACACCCACACACTCGAAATGAAGTGTGAAAATCGCCCGGGGAGGGGGCAACCTCGCTCGCACTATCGAGCCAGCATTCAACTTGCACTGACCATTCCCAGGTTCCTGCAGAAACCCTTGGAAGCTCACAGAGGGAGCGATTCCCGGGGCAGAAATAAGTTTGGGTGCCTTTGGAGCTCTCTTTCACGGCTTGTTTGCTTTCGCAGACGCTCGCTCCGAAAGCGCGTGGAGCGCCCCACAGGACCGCCGCCTCGGCGCGCGCCGGCGCGCACACNGTCTGCGAACTCGCGCATCTCCCTCCACCGCGCCCGCCAGACAACTTGGCGAGCACCTGGCGCGCCCGCAGCCCGCTCCCTCGAGCCCTTCTTCCAAATCCCAAGCCCACCGCCGTGCTCCAGAGGTGCTCACGCCGCCCCCAGACCCAAGGGCGCCCCCTCTGCACGCCAGGGGCTTCCCTGTCGCTCCCTCTTCCCGCTCCCCTCAGCTCTGTGGGGGATCGAAAACGCAGCCGGGCTCGGGCAGCCGGGGCCCAAACTGTCAAGAGGAGAAAAGGTAAAAGGGGAGGAAGGTGGCCATAAACAGATTTTTTTTTTTCCTTCTTAAAAGGACACTGCCGCTTTAAAAGTTTTTTTCCCGGGCCCCCACTCTCTGGTTCTCCGTATTTTGGGGGAGCGTATTTAATTTCGGCAACGCGGCTTTCCTCCTCTGTGTGCAGAAAAATCAAAGCCA